GCATCTCCCCAAGTTATTTTGTTCATGGTGTTTCATCACAGCTACAGAAACCCTAACTAAGATAAACCAGGAATAGAAACAACACAAAAGGCTAAGGTAATGTTGTTGATGTATTAATATGTGACATGGGATTCCCCTCTGTATGCTGTGAATACCATTGGTTAATAAAGAAACTGTATTGGGCCTGCACAGGGAATAGAGGTAGGCAGGGAAAACTAAACTGAATGCTGGGAGAAGGAAAGTGGAATCATGGAGAAGCCATGAAGCCACCACTGGAGACAGACACACTGAAACTTTGCTGGTAGGCCACGACCTCATGGTGATGCACAGATTAATAGACATGGGTAAATTAAAATGTAAGAATTAGCAAATAAGAAACTAGAGCTAATGGGCCAAACAGTAGTTTAAATAATATAGTTTCTGTGTGATTATTTCGGGACTGAGCATCCAGGAACCAACAAGCAGCCTCTTATAACAAAAATGATTCCTTAAAAATTAAAAATAAAATTCTAGTATGTAGCAAAATTCAATAAAGACTTATTTTGCTTTCAATTAAAAATTTCAAAAATAATGTATGTATAGTTCCTATAAATAATTTTAAAAATCTGTACTATGATAGTGTCATGCTGTTGAGTTTTGGAAGTAGATTTTCAGTTCCATTGTCCTGAAACAAATCAAAAAAAAAAAAAAGAAAGAAAGAAAGAAAGGAAGACAAAAACTAGCAAATTCATGAATTTTTTATTTTTATTTTTAGAATGGCAATTTGAAAAGAGAATATAATGACATTACATGATATATGAAGCTCTGTTTAGGAAATAGAGGATTTTTTCATACTTGATACTTTCGGAAAACTTGGTGGTCACCTCAAGAGGCTTTCCAGTCTCTGTCTCCTGTTTGGGAGGAGAGGGGCTATCATGTTTCTGACCACTTCACACTGTTCTTCACTGAGATTCTGTCCTTGTTAATCTAAATCATCAACCTTGGAGTCATCTGGATTAAGGACTTGCTTAGACTGTTTGGTCTGCAGGCATATCTATGGGGGATTTCTAGGCTGATTGATTCAGGAGGCCCCAGCCTCGGATGGGTGGTATCATTCTTAGGCAGGTGGTTGAGAACTGTATTATCTAATGAGCAGCATTCCTCCATGGTTCTTGTCTCCAGTTTCCTACCTTGACTTCCTGCCATGACTTCCCTCAATGGTGGTCCCATGACCTCAGTGAGTAAGCTGAAATGAATGCTTTTCCTGCTTCTTTACTTTTGTTCATGATGCTTGTCACAGCAAGGGAACAGGATCAGAGTCTTCTTGTTAACTGTGGGACATATAAACTTGCTTCCTGAAGAAATAAACCTTGTAGTTTCCTTTTTGGAAACAAAATCTTTGTGATATGTGGACACAGAACACCATTAATTTCCACGTCTGAGGCCCTTCCTCAAAACAAAACCAAAAGCAAATAAAAAAAATCAAGTGACACAAATCAACCTATTCTAGGTATAAAATTAGTTGCTAATTGAAGTGCAAAAGAAAGAGTCAAAAGAGCAGTTCATTTAGTGTTGGGTCTTCCTTCCATAAGAGACAACAGAGCAAATTCAGCCTCCCTACAGGTTCCCTGGGGTCTGCTAGGATTATCTGTAAATACTTTAAAGCTGGGATAATTTCATAATGCTGATTTTTTAAAATTAAATTTTAATGAAGGAATTATTTTGAACCATACTATTTTTGTCATCCTTTAAATTACACCTCTCCCCCCTACAGGGAGGCATTTGAGACAGACTAGATTGACTAGCAGGACTTGATAATCCTCCTGCTTTAGTTTCCCGAGTTTTGGGGTTACAGGCATAACCACCATACTTGCTTGTATTTACATTACACTTTCATGGAGTTGTGAGAAAATTAATTTTTATATTTTCTTTAATAAGTTTTTTTATATGGTACGGGCAACCCTCAAGTCATGACCCTTCTTTGTTGTTTCTCTTAGTAGCTGAGAGTGTTCTTATCCGGCTATACTTAGAAAGGTTTTGAAAAATGAGCTTAATACTTTCTCTTGAATACTTGGTCCCATCACATGGTTGTTTTATTAGAACTTCCTTCTTCTGGCCCTGCATGTCCATAGTTTACCATAGTTCACCTTTAGATCTGAGTGTCTCCCAGAAATATAGAACCCTGGTCTCACATGATTCTTCTCCCTGCCCTAGAAACCTCACCAAGCTAAAAGAGAAAGAATTTGGAAATTAAGAAAAGGACTAGGATTAGAATGGATTAGCTAAAGAAACTGGTTTTCTGTAGGGAATCTTGAAATTTATTTTTGATTTTTAATATTTAAATTTATATTAGTTTCAGTCATTACAAATCACCAAACAGCATCTGGAACAAATACTCTAATGTATCTTTACTTCTGTTTAGATTTTTACCATTTAGAAAGAGTAGCAAGAACCAGGATAACAGGATGAATCAAGTAAACCTTATTGATGTCATCAAACACCTGAAAGGAACAAAGAAGGAAGCCCTGTATTCTAAGTGCAGCTTGATGATTGATAGGAATGTTTGCACACAGGAAGTCCCCTTGGCTATGGAACTCAGTGCTTCAAATTGTAGACCTGCTATTCTGATCCCAAATAGAGAGTGTAGAGAAGACCTCTGCTCTTCACTACTTTCTGTAGTCCAACTTTCACATGTTTGCCAAGTGGAAGACAACAATGTAGAAATTATTTTGTTGATAACTTTGGCTAAAGTATAAGCTACTGATAACAGGTTGTCTTTTGCTACTTGCAGTGGTATAATAGAGTATACACATTACTAGTGCCTGGATTTTCTAGCTCAAGAATTGAATTTGGAAAGAAGGCATTACTATAGGATTATTTGCTACTTAATCTTCCTTATTTTTCTGAAATGAAAATTAGGCCAGCAAATAGATTTGTGGACAAGAGATTAAAAAGTACTAAATGTTTAGGGCTAGGGAGATGACTCAGTCAGTAAAATGACTGCCTTTCAATCATGAAGACCTGAGCTTGAATCCCTGACACTAACATAAAATGGGCATGGTTGTATGCATCTGTAACCTCAGGAAAAGAAGAAGGGGATGGTGGAGAGGGATGAGGCAGGCGGAGCTCTCTGGTCAACCAGCCCTGCCAGTCAGTGAGGGCTGAGCTCAGTGAGAGTCCCTGCTTCAAAAGATAACATGGAGAGCAATAATGGATGGGATGATGTTGCTCTCTAAGATATACCTTTACATGTATAGATCTATAACATACAGATACATATATACATTACACATACACATACACATACACACAGCACACACTCAGAACACACCACACGCACACAGGTACATTCACCATACAACATACACACATCACATGACACACACATAGACAGTTACACACTCAGCACACACCACAGACAACACACAGAGATACACACCACACGCACAAGCCCAATCCTCATATACATACCATATCACATACACATACATATACACACACAAATACACACATTGCACGAACACCACACAACACATTCACCTAGATACACACACCACACACACATAGACAGCACAATATACCACAATATACACATATATAGACACACAAAAAGATATACACACCACACATACCCCATATACACATATATCACATACAGAACACAAAGCACATACACACCACACACACGCATGAATACAAACACCATGCACACCATAAGCAGATACTAATACTGAAGTTTTACCCAAAAGATAGTAACATTTTAAAATCATTTTTCCTGTTAATTTTTCATACAATATATTTTTCTCATTTTCCTTCTCCTCTAATTCCTCCCTACCACCCAACATCATGTTCTCCCCCCTCTTACTCTCTCTGTCTGTTTCTGACTCATGCACAACCAAAAAATGAAAATCAGAACAAACAAAAAAAGAATAAGACAAAAATAACAAAACCAAAGCTATCCCTCCTCCACTTGGAGTCCATTTTGTGCTGGGCACAGGGTATGCCTAGGAGTGTGGTTGATATACACTGGGGAAAACAGGTATCTACTGCAAAGAGCTTCTTGGTTAGGGGTGGAGCTTTGTGTCCTGCTCCCCTTTCTGAACAGAGCAGCTTAATGGTGTCGGGACGCTCTCTGCCATGAGTACTGTGAGACTCCACCAAGTGGTGCGTTGCCTTCCAGGTCTGCTCTGCTCAGCACATATCCAAATTCATCACATCCCGTTTTCATCTTTCTGTTTGTTTTTGTTTCTGTTTTTTTTTCTTTTGAAACAGATATTCCGGCACAGGACAAACCCCCAGGAATAGCTCAGAGGTGGTGTCAAAAGAGGTGCATTACGTTTCTGCCCTCTTTGGAAAAACTCCTCAGCCTGTGTACATGACCCCATAAGAGCTAGATGACTTCATCAGAGTGAGGGGTGTAGCCCTTAGGAAGGATCACCACCAACACCCACAAAGTGTGCTAACAGTCTCAGCCCTACATACTGTATAGTTTATTTGTAAGAACACTCCTCCCCTCACAGGGGCTTTTCATGTAGCACAGTATAGCTCAACACCCTAAAATTCATGTATTTATTTCGTAGTCTGAGGAGGATTTAAAATTATTCATAAGAATGCTGGAAAATTCTTGCCCAATTTTCTATCACAAAACACCTTATAACAGGAGTTATAAAACATACTTGAAAGAATCCAAGAGAGCTGTCCAGTTTTTGATTTTTCTTTCTATACTCCAACTCTACTTCTGAATCGGTGCCTGGGTCATTTTCCCGGGCAGCAGTTAATTTTTCCCTTTCCACAGGAGTGACTGCATTCTTTCTTCTGTTTAAATGAAGAATCGATGTAGAAGCACTAGCTGTCTGTTACTGTGTTGTCTGTTCTCATGAGCTGCACACATATTTTCAAAAGGACACATTCCCAATCTTGTATTTAAGAAGTTATTGTCCACTGTGAAGTTTCTGTCTCAGGTTGTGCCCCGGTTTCCCGCATTATCAGACAGTAATCCCCACAGGGTTCCTCACACTTACCGAAGCACAGTTTTCAGACGCCTCGTCCACAAACCCGATCTGGCAAGGTGTCCTCTGGTTCTGCAGCCAGTAGTCCGTGGACTCCAGCAAGCTATTGCTGCGAAGAACCTGTGGGAACACAGACAAGCCTTCCAGTGTTGTTCAGCAAGGCGTTCTATCTGAACAAGCGGCTTTCTACTGAGAAACCTGTAGGTGTTTTCTCTTCCCCCTTTCCTCCAAGCAGCTGGGTGAGAAGAGGAGGGAGAAACGTGATGGATTACAGCAACCTTAGAAAGTATAAAATGTTCTGCCATGAGGTAGCTTGCTGTGGTATTGATGCTCCTTTTTGTTCGTCAAATCTAACACCCAAAGCTCTAATGTGTGCTTGACTTATGTGTAATATGTAATTGTAATGCATAATTGTTTTGGGGTGATGCCCAACTGTTGGTGGGCATAGAAGTTTCATGTATAGTTAATGTTCTCTTACAGATTTGAATTTTTTGATTTTAAAAATTCATGTTTTCATTTTCAGTGCATTGCCTATTCTTTATTCCTTTGATTGCATTAACATAGATATGAAATAGGGTACAATTCTTCTAGAACATCTAAGGTACCAGGCTGTTAAAAATAGTAGTAATAATACAGCTACATTAGTCAAAACCATTTTTCCCCTTAGCAGTGGTAAACCAAAATAAGAGGAAATTAAGCACACATATCAACAAAGCTGTGGGTTTCAAGGCAAAGGCAGAAAGAATTTCTCAGAGCCAAAGAGTTTGAAGATACAGTTTCTTAAATAACCAAATGACCCAATTTTGAATATGACTTCCAGTGTTATCATGGCTCTCTTTCAAGGTGAATGTCTGTTAATTTGTGGTTATAACCTTCCCTTATCTGTGTATAAGTTAATTTTGTTTTAGAAGAGTTAACACAAATTCTGAAGCTGTTTTCTAAAGCATTTTTGCCCCAGATGTGTGATCTTTCAATATTGTTACCTAAAGATAGAAAATCTCCATCTTTACTTTGAAATAAAGAGATAATTTGTATGTGAGCAGCTGATTGAATGGTGAACTTGCTGCTATTTCTGTAAACTAAATCTGACAGTGGGACTAGCTTCTTACCCCGCCCCTCAGAGAGATCCTACCTAATAGCACTTACATAGATACCATTTACTGTTTTAATGTCCATTATCTTTGAGTATTCATCTAGGTTTCTAGAAAAAATGTGACCTGTGGTGGCCCAGAGAATTGAATGCAGAAGCTCTAAGAAGAGAACAGTTGCCTTTTAAGTCAAAAGTTGAAGAGATTCATAACCATTCAAAATAAGTTCATATTCTCCTTGCCCAAAAATTTTATTATGCTTTGGAAATCATATGTATTTAATTAATAAATATGTTATTGAGTGTTTAACGTTTTACAAATAATCATGATAAACATAAGGAAGCAGGTGTTAAAAAAATAGCTCTGTTGGGAGAGTGCTTGCCATACAAGTGCGAACTCCTGAGGTCATCCCCAGAACCCACACAGAAAAGCCAGGCTGCCTGAAGGGAAGCTGGCACCTGAGGAACGACACCTGAGTTCTCTTATGGCCTCCATGTGTATGTGCGCATGGGGACCTGCACACATTTGTGCACACACATGTACAATAATACATCCCAAGGAAACAAAACAGAGGAAAATGAAAACTCCAAAAAAAAAGAAGAGAAAACAAACCTAAACTATTGTAAATGCCAAAAGAATTTTAAGTTCTTTTGATCACATCATTAAAATTTATGTTAAAAAGTCAAGAACATGGATTAACTTTAATTAAAATAAAAGGGCTTCTAAATCTCTGAATCTATGCCCTTGCATAAAACTGCTATTCACTTTTATTTCCAGATACAAAAGTGATTTTGGAAACCTTGTTTGGATGTGAGTTTAGTCATTAATAGCAGGACAGGTGGGCCAAGTGATTTCAACTGATTTTCAGGTTCTGAACCTAAGATGAGGGATAAAAAAAGCATGTGGTGGGAACAGGGAGGGGGCCACTGACGAGCCATGATGGGAACAGGGAGGGGTCACTGAGGAGCCATGGGGGGAACAGGAAGGGGGGCCACTGAGGAGCTGTGGTGAGAATGGGGAGGGGCCACTGAGGAGCTGTGGTGGGAACAGAGAGGGGTCACTGAGGAGCTGTGGTGGGAACAGAGAGGGGTCACTGAGGAACTGTGGTGGGAACAAGGAGGAAGCAGTGAGGAGCTGTGGTGGGAACAGGGAGGGATTCATTGTGGAGCTGTGGTGGGAAGAGGAGCGGGGCACTGAGGAACTATGGTGGGAACAGGGTGGGGTTCATTGCGGAACTGTGGTGGGAGCACATATAGGTGGAAGGGGTAGGAGGTGGAGACTGAGGAGCTGTGTTTAAGCCATTCAAGAGATGGGTTCTTCTCTCAGAACATGGATTATCTATGATTTTAAAGGAACTATAAACAATAATAGAGATTTGAAAGATTTTTCCCTAAAATCAAGAAAATGAAGTGCTTTCAGATATTTGAAGGCAATTTTTTTTCATAAATATCTGGACTGAGGTGTAATTTATTATAAATGTTGTAGTATTGTTAGTGATAGCCAGTATTGTGTGTAGGGCTAGAAAATTCTGAGAATAGAGCTATTAACATTCACCCAATAATTGTTTCAATGTTACTATTTACTAGACAAAGGTCTTCGGAGAATTTATGATTTTGATAATAAAGACCTAGAGGCTCAGATGATTTGGTGGTTTAGGGTTTGTTTCCTCATGGTTCAGACTTGACCTTGGATTTAGTTTTGAAAGTATCAATTCTTTGATTATAGCTGTCTTCAAGACTTCCCAAATGGTCTGATCTAAAGTTCCAAAACATTCATTATAGTCCAATATTTCTAAGTAAAAGTCCATTTTATGTATGTACTTTAATTTAAGGTCAGATTCTCCTCACTAAAATTTCTGGGTAACATTTTCCTTAAAGAAGCAGAAAATTATGTGGTATAAATGATATAACTGAATTAATCCACTTAGTGATAATATGACATTGTAATTCCTCATAGGCGGCACGGTTTGAAGCCTACTTGAGTTATCATTAGGCAACTGGTGCCACATGCTTGTCCCTGGCCTTTCTTTGATCTTCGGGATTTGGAAGGCCATCACTGAAACAAAAGAACTCATTAATTCTGCATCCTAGGATCATCAGAGCTTGAACTACAGGTGCCAGATGAATACGCTGGCTAATCCGACTTTACAGTGCAGCTCAATAAACATTCTAATCAGAATCAGCTCTTCACCATCTCAGAGCTCATTCTTCAAAAATTAGGCTGTGGACCTTGTCTAGAATCTGACTCACAAAAGTCAAATAGTGTTGCGGTCCCAGCAAAATGTTTCAATTGTCACAACAGCATTTGACTGATCTTCCAACTATTGGTCAGCCTGAGGAGTAGGGGTTGTTGAATTGCAGTTCACTTGGCTCTTATTGGGTGTTCAAACTTGCCACACTCTCTTAATGGTAGATGGAGAGTGATAAAAGTCAGCTTGACGCTTGGCCACCTGCCTCCTTGTAATTCCTACAGCTGAGGAAGGGGCTGTCTGATGTGAACATAACCAGACTGTTACTCGTGCTTAGGAATTGCTTTTTTTCTTTTTTTCTCCGTGTGTGTGTGTTTATATATGCATACATTTTTTACATGTGTGTTCACAGGACTGTGTATGTATCTGTGCACATGGGTACATATAAATATGGAGGCCCAAGATTGATGTCAGGGATTCTTGATTACCCTTCATTGAGATAGGGACTCTCAATCAAACCCGGAGATCACCAATGTGGCTAGCCTCAGCAGCCAGCTTTTCTGTGGATGTTCTGCCTCTATCACCTGAAGCTAAAATTACAGGATGTCCCACACCCCTACCATTTATACAGGTGCTGGGAATCTGAACTATAATCTGTATGCTTGTGAGTCAAGCTTTTTAAATCACTGCGCCATTTGCCTAGCTTGATTAGAATTACTTGAAAATACTAATTAACAAAATGATACTACACTGGGAACTCTGAGATAAAATTTCTCACATATTATTTGAATTAAACCTCTAGACTTTTGGGGTCGGATGTGAAAGCTAATGTATGTTCAAGGCACAAAACAGTTTCTGAAATACCCAACCAATAGTAGCCATCCTTTAAAAGTTATTGTTTTCTTTGTCCTTGATCACAGGGGCCAAGAATTTGATTAGCATAGAAGGAACAATACAGCAGTCCCTGAGATAGCAAGGCCTTGACTCAAGCCGTAATCTTTGTATGTTTGTGATCTCTTGCATCTCGTGTTTGAGTTATCTGTCCTAATTTAAGGACTTTAGTCTGGGTGATTTGAAAATTGCGTTCCAGTTCTGATTCTCTGTCAGCTAACTCCTGTTTCCTCCTAGCTTCTGGCCCCAGTTTCCCTGGGCAAAACTGTTACATCAGACAATCTGAGAAAACACCACCCTTGTAAAAAGCATCACGTAATCATCCCTTTCACATCCATAATTCCTTTCCCATATAGTTTAGTAGTCCAACAAGATGGTGGTGGCACACACCTTTAATTCCAGCAGAGGTAGAGGCAGAGGCAGGTGAAACTGTGAGTTTGAGTGGAGTCTGGCTTACAGAGTGAGTTCCAGGACATCCAGGGCTATAAATCCTGTCTCAAAAATGAAAAAAAAAAACATAAAAGAGGGAGATGGAGAAATTGTTTTGAGGCTAAGAGCACTTGCTGTTCTTTCGAGGACCTGGGTTCATCTCTCAGCACCCATATTAAGTGGCTCACACTGTCTGTAGCTACAGTTCTAGGGAACCCAATAACCTCTTCTGCAAGAACCTACCCATACATGGTGCACATACACACACAGTCAGGCACATACATACACATAATATTGAATTTAGGAAAAAAAGGTCTGATAAGAGAACAAGGAAAGAAAATAAGCTAGCACTACCTAGCCTAGTGTGTTAAAAAATTTTAACCTGGTTTCTTGTCTAATGGTTTGCACAAAAGACTAGAGTGACTTCTTGGAGAAAAAAAGGTATGTACTTGAGCATTTAATGTTTTTGAAGCTTATGAAAGCTTCCTGCTGAAGGAGTCATTTTTGAGTGGGAAAAGAGAGAC